CAAGCGTATCAATGGGTTGCGAGCTGTTTTTGGAGAAGTAAGTTGCTTCAGCTTTTTCCATCATTATTTTCTATCACCCTTTTATGCATAACTTATCGAGCAATCCTATAATATTTTCATCTCCTTAAGGTATATCCTGATCCAGTTAGAGTTGTGGCGATTGGCCGTCAAGTGGAGGATCTCCTTGCAAATCCAGAAAATGAAGAATGGTTATTGATATCCGCAGAATTATGTGGAGGTTAATTTCTTGAAATCTTGAAATTTACTGTGCCTTGCTCTGAAATTGTATTGAAATTATTCTGTGGCTAAATACAGGCACCCATATAACAAATACACGGGAAGCTAAAGCATTTGCTCTTCTATCTGAGGAGGGAATTGCTAAAGGAGTTCGAAGGATTACTGCTGTCACCACTGATTCTGCTTTCAGTGCAATGGAATTAGCGTCTGCACTTGAACGTGAAGTAGATTATGCATCCCGGATCGAAGGAAGCTTGCTAGAAAAGGTCTCTCTTACTTTTTTATATATTTTCCCTTTTGATTTTGTCCAGCTAGTTAAATGATGGTGTCTAACTGTGTATGACCTAATATTTACACATGATGACAAAACCACAGTTATAACACCCTTAACCTATGCTTCAATTTTGGTCCTGAATGATCCTTTCTGCATTCTCTCATGGTTGGCTGTAGTTACTGAGGTGGGTCCAGGGTAGGTGCTTTTTTCTTTTATCATAAGGTTGATAGTTGATAACTTGTTACTTTCTATATAAACAAAAGCATAGAAGTTGTAGTTATCTTGAAATGTATCATTAAGACTGTTGAAAGTAAATTCTCTTTCTACGATTACTTTTGTAATCTTGTTTATTAATAATGAGCAAAATGGACATCATGTGTATCTACGAATGTTTCTTGAACGTCTCTTTTGGAGTTGATTGTTGGTGTAGTAAATTGAAAATTTTCACTTATGGTTTTGGCTATTATTGAATTATTAGATCTTATTCCAATTTGGTTATTGGTTTGAATGTTTGCAGAAAGTCGCTTCATTCAAAAGTCGTGTAGACTCAGCTCTTATTCCAGCTGCCAAGAAGGCTGATATCAGGGCCAAGATTATGCTACTTCAGGTGTAGTCACTACTCTAGGCCTACTAACCAATTCTTTGCTGCTTTTTCCCTTCTTTTATTTTCCGCGCATTTCTTTTCTTTTGGCTGAAAGCATCTGCCTCTTTATGTTAATGTCTGCTGTTTTACCTCATACTGTATTATCTTTTTTTTTTTTTTATTATTTGGATAATTCAGAACCAAGTGAGAAAAGCACAAAAGAAAATTGCTGAAGCAAATATCCAGAAAGCCGTCAAGATTGCAACTGAGACAGCAGAAATTGCCACTTCAGCTGGGAATTCATTCTGCATATCTCATGTTAATGTTGGTCTAGATGCAGCCGCAGTTCGCGAGGCTGTTTTAAAAGTCATGGACCAGAAGGTTAGTTGTTTCTGGATATTTCTTTATCGAATTTGCATTGCAATTATGTCAAATTAAAATTGACACATATTTGTGCAAAGAAGTAATCAGTGTCTTGGTGGATGGGCAGGGAATACCGGCAATGGTTTTCAGTACAGATGAAACTACAAACAAGGCAATTGTGTGTGCTGGCGTACCAGAGAAATCAGATAAGTGCATGCAGTTGGAGGTATCCGAGTGGTTGACTGCTGCTTTAGGGCCCCTAAAAGGTAGATGCGGAAAAGGAAAAGGTGGTCTTGCTTCCGGCCAGGTTAGTCATTAGTAGTTCTCACATGATATCTTACCAGACAATAGTTTGATACTTGATAAACATTAAGACTCTGTTGTGCATTTTGAGTTCTCTTTTTTCTCAAAGCCAATAACCCTTGTAGAAAATTAGTTTTTGTCGATTTGTTTTTTCATTGTTTTAAAAAATAAATATTGATTGATCCGGAAATGTAATCATGTGGTTGCTTTTTATCAGCAAAAGCAGAAACCAAAATCTGGGTAAATAAGGGCTTGCTTGATTCAAGTTCATCGCATTACGTTCTGTTGTTTGCTGATCTATGATGATTCTTTTTTTGATGTTAGGGAACGGATGCATCAAATCTCAAGGAAGCAATTGATTTGGCAACATCATTTGCCTCAATGAAATTGAGATAATACTTGTGTAAGTGGCAGGTCTTGCCACCGCAACCAGCTATTATTCCAGGTTGATGATGTACTTGCTATTGCAACCAGCGGCTAAGGCAATGATATACTGAGGCCTTATTATGTTTCTCGTCATATTAAAATATACAAAATGAATTGTTTATTTATTAAATTTCTTTTAACTAATTCTTTTGCACCAGTTTGAGTTACTGATATAAAAGAGATTAATCAGATTGGTTATGCTTTTTTTTTTTTTTTTCTTTATTAATGTCATAGAGATCAATATCATGCTGGGTTCCATTTTATTTTTTTAAACAATTATAAGGTATTCTCAATTTTGTTGATTAATTTAATTTATTTTTGCATTATGTTAAATAATTGAGTTGGAAATTTGGTTTAAAAATATTAGACCAAAATTCTAATTAATAAAAATTGACCATATTTTATTTTTTATATAAATAAATTTTTGGAGGTTAAAAATGTAAGTATAATTTATTTTTTATTTATAGATTTGTCTACAAAATTTATTTAGCAATAGAATTCTATTTGTATATTCAAAATGAAAAATTTGTTTTCAAGGTGTTTAAAAAGGTTGGCGATATATACATATATACATCTTCATTTTGTTCCACTAAAAATAATAATTAGCCTATGTGGTGTAAAATATTTTATTTTTTTTAAAAATAATGTGAATACTTGTGAGAGAATAAAATAAAATAAAAAACTCAAATTAATTTGCTTGTTTGCGGACAGGTTTGAGCAAATATCTAAAACTCTTCCGAAACAGTTTGCTAAATCCTGAGAATTATTAAAAACACTTATGTATTCCATTTCCCCTTTCTATCCAATCAGACTCAGGTATCTTCTCTTCTTTTCTTCCTCAATAATCCCAATCATCATCTTCTCAACTGAAATTCATCCTCATCATCATCACCATCTTCTTCTTCTTCTCATTAGATGCTGTAGTAACACAACACCTCCGCCAAAACCTTACTACCACTATGACTTGCTTGGAGTTTCCGTCGACGCAGATTCTCTCCAAATCAGACAAGCTTACAGGAAGTTGCAAAAGAAATTTCATCCCGACATCGCAGGCCCAAGGGTCTTCTCTTTTTTCTTTTTTTACATAGTTTCTCTTAAGGTATGCTTTCATTGGAAGTTACGGTTTGAGATAGAGACTAATTTCTATACTTCTTATATATTCAATTTAATCCAAGGTTCATCCATGGGAAGTAAGCACAATTTGTCCAACACTAGTGTCTAATTTTCTTGTTTGCCAAGTACTCGATTAATTTACTTGCTTACAACGTAATGATTTCTTTTACAATATGTAGTCTGACGAATTTTCTTGTGTTAAGGTTCATGATTTCACTCTAATGCTGAATGAAGCGTATAAGGTCTGAGGAGAGATTATGATGCTTCAATTGGAAGAAACTCCTGTGCTTTGGGTTATAGCTCATGGAATGGCCCACTTAGACCCCAAGCTCTCTTTGTCGATCCAAATGTCTGCATAGGTCCATCCTATATTTCTAATCCCCCTCTTTATGTGGTTATCTGTGTGTGTGTGTGTGTATATATATATATATATATATATATATATATATATCACTGAGCATTTGGCATTTGATAGGGCTGCAGGGAGTGCGTACACCATGCAAGTAATACATTCGAGATGGATGAAGCTCTTGGGTGTGCTAGAGTCAAAGTTCAATATGGAGATGATGACCATAAAATTGAGGTAACATTTTGCTCCAGGTATACAATATATATGTATATAAATAGATATATATATATATATATATATATATGCATGTATTTAGCTCAAGTGGTATTTGATTGGTGTGTTGAATTTGTGAATAACTTTCACTTTTCTGTTGATTCATGTCCTGTGAACTACACCATTGGGTGGAGAGGGAGGAATTAGGAGTGTAAGAATTTCTTGTTCAACCTCAACCAACGGAAGGGTATGGCGTATATGGAGGTGGTTGGGAAAGACCTGCAAATATTTTCATGGCAGCTAAATCATTTAACAAGCAGCAAAAACGGAAAGCTGCAACTGATATGCTGCCAGCAAAATAAATGGTAGCTCGCAACAAAGTGCTCCTTTTCTAGTATTATATGTTCTTATTGAGAAAAGTTGATTAATTATGTGGTTCATGTGACAGTTGAAGAACAAAACCCGGTTGAAGCAACATCTCCACCAAACTTTTATCATAAACATGGAGCTTGACAGGTTCTCTAGATTTTGGAATTTCTTCAAAGTTTTTGGCTCAAATTTGTGAAATAGGCCTCAATGAGGTTTCGAAAATATTTGACTTGAGTTGCTCCTCAAGAAGATAAAATAGGTCAGTTTTAGTAATTTTCCAAATCTTATTCTACTCCAGGAGTATATTGTAAGAACATTCCATGTTATGTTTTCCTTTTCTTGGTTCATGAAATATACTATTCCTATTAAAATATCATAAGATTGAATGACAATATTGTTTTGGAGGGTTCACTTGAAATTTCCAATGTTTCTGAATGTGATTTCTACTTGGCTTTAGTTTCTTTATTTGAATAAATTATTAAGCTATCTGTAATTTGATTGTAAAAACATGTATTTTGTGATTGAAATAAAACCATCAATGAAATTTTTGGTAAAATCAACAAGTTTGCATTTTGACAAACATGCTGAAAAGACACTTTAGAGCAGGTCTTAAACACTCGCTAATTTCATTCTCAACAAAGCACAGCCTCCCATGGAGCATCTATCTTTCTAATGCCACCATCAATCACTTTTAATCACCCTGAGTACAAAACTTTTTCCATTCTATATTAGATCTAAACATAATAAGATGCTTGTAAACTCTTAGAAGGAAGTTATGATTGTGCTAAAAATTAGAAAATTGAAGATACAATTTCACTATATTAGATTGTACATGCGTTTATCTCAAGAAATATGATTGTTCTAATTAATCAGTTATACAGAGGATGGATGAACAAATGTATAGATGAATAAGTTCATTATAATAGGTTGTATAGATCCATGAGTAGTTCATCACTTGTTATTTTGTAATTATTCCATACTTATGTTTGATCGAGTGAAGGAAAACATAATGTAATTATTCCATTCATGCAAGATTCTATTATCTTCTAAAGCTCTCTTGTGTTTAATATTTCTAAATATATACTGCATGATCCTAAGAGATGCTTGTAATGATCTATTTGTTTGTACGAACATGTTAATTTAGAAATATTTATCGGATACTTACTATAATGATATACTTATAATAGTTAATATATGCACTATTTTTAAAAATATTTATCAAATGGTACAAACATATAAATTTAGAAAATAAAAAATTGAACTATTTTCGTAAATAAAAATATTTTTTTTTTGTTTTAATTTTCTAAATTATAACTGTTTAAATATATATATATATATATATATTCACTAAAGGATATAAATATATGTATTTTTTAATAATTTAAGCACAAAAAGAAAGATTTTTATAGAAAATGCCAAAAACAAAAATTTAAAATTTCCTATACCTATCATCATCGTAGTAGTTAATTAACTTGTATGTTTTTGTGAATAAAATAAATATAATTTAAACAAAACGTTTTCATATTAAACATATACCAAACAACACTTAAAAATTTGAAAGTAAGCAAACACCAATTAGCCTTCTTCTCCTGAAAAATCAATTAGCTGTTATAAAATTACAAAATATATCCAATACCAGATAGAAAAATCTGTTTCACATTAATTGATTCAATTAAAATCACAAATAACAATTCGATATGATATTACAAGTAGAATGATAACCATAGTAACTTAGTGTAGTAATATACTTAAAATTTGAATTCACATACTTTTGACATATAGCCAATATTAGTTGGGGGAAAAAAAAGGTAAAATTAGTGAGTGTGTAGAAGAACAACCATGTATTATAAAAGGAGCATGTTACCAGAGGGGAAGGTTACCTAGGCCATAAGACTCCTAAACGTCATATACTATAATTAATGCTTTGAAAAGATTACATATACATACATATCCCATTGTATATACTATAATGCTTTAAAAAGATTATATATATATATATATATATATATATGTGCTCACATACACATAAAAAAAATAGCTGTCAAAATTTTTTAAAGGGAAAAAGGGACTGCAAAAGACTATCTTACATCGATGCAGCAATAGCGTCTTAATATGTGTACGATAAGTAGTGAACTAATGAAGTCTGCATTTTTGGGTTCCAGCACAAACTGCACATTCATCTATATCTCCTTCTACATGGCTTAAGCAGTGTTTTATCCTGTCATTTACAACATCCTGCAATGCATATCATCCTGATTAAACCAAATAAAAACAATTAATTGCTCTAATTACAGAAAACTCATATGCATAAGCTTTCAAAAGTCAGGGGGAAACTCATAAAGAAAGAGGAAACTAATTGTCACATTACTAACCCTAGTCATCTAAAACGGGAGAGAGGGAGAAAAGAGAGGAGAAATTATTTACAAATGGATATGATCAATGAAAAAGAGAAAACTAGTTGTAATAGCCAGAGTAACATCACTCACTGCCACGTTACTAAAAAAATGTTGGCTACTTCTGTTTCTTGATCTCATTTTAGCCTATCCTAACACACTATCAGTGTGAAATATAGGGTGTCACGAATTCTATCCCTTGAGAATCAGAAATACCAAATACTTCTAGCCTTATGAGCCATATGGATATCACACACGTTTTGATCCCTTGAGCTCTCAAAAGATGAAATAAACCATAGTCCAACATGCTAGTAGGACAAGGTCTATCTCATAACCGCACAGGTCTGGTTACCTAAAAGTACTACTTGATGGTGTTCTTGGAATTGGAGTATTCATTCTTAATAAAAAAAGTATGTAAGTTCCTAATTGACTACATTCTTAATTAAAAGTAGTTATAACTAAACTATGAAATTCGATCGCAATTATTTGATCAAGCCAGTGAACAACACTGCAAATCAGTGAAAAGTTTTTGAAAGCTGGTGAAAATCAGTAATAATAAGGATGAAAGTTTTTGTTTTAGTTTTAACTAAATTAAGAATGCAGTCAGTCAGGAACTTTTTTACATTTTGTTAAGAACGCTGTTAACTGGAACTGAATTTAGTGCCTTTATATATATATATATACATATATCAAAATTACTACAGATTTCATGGAGATATTTGGATAAAAATTGGGAGTTAACAGCATTAACTAAGTAGTATTGTCACATTGCCAGTACTCGTGAATAATCTTCATATTGCTCAGGTAAGGATAACTAACGGCAAAGTTGAGCGCAATTTGAAAATACAGTGATGAGTCTCAAAGTCTCTTGCACGGTTAATGTAAAAACTAGGAGAAAAAAAATGAGGAAAATCCCATACCACAAGGAGCTCGTGCAAGCCAAGAGGAGCAGTTATGATGTATGGTACACCAGGATATTCTTTTGCAGCATTAGCAGTTAATGAAGGAATATCCTGTGAAACATGCAATCAAATTAACAAAGTTAGAATTTTAATATTTTCCACGATACCTTCAAAAAAATGGTGCAGCCATTAATCAAGCATATAGATTATGGTCAAGGGAATGAAGCAAAGATCTAATAAGTTACCTGATGCCAGTGCCGCCCAGGAAAGAGAAAAAAGGGGCTTACTATCACACGATTTGCTCCTTGTTGAATACATGAAGCAAATGCATCTCTTATGGATGGCTCTGCCAACTCCTATTTATATTAAATGGTATTACAAAGCCCAAGATTTAAGTTTTATAGAATTAACAATGTCATGAAAGGTATAGAACATTCTATCAACCTCAAAAATAACTACACCAAGACAACACAGTACACACACTAAACTGAACAAATAACATCAAAGCTAAAGAATTGTGCCATCTTCTTTGCAATACTACCTTTGGGAAAAGCATGAGAAGCATCTGGACAAAATAAATATGGGCTTTAAGAAGTATGTGCATAAAAAATAACTGTATAGAGCTATGAGTATCTTGAGTGTGCTTCAAGACAAATTGCTGCTTTATAACAGCAGAGAAACAAACTAGAAAAGCAAGTTTTCACAAGTTACAACTTTTCAACTTCCGCACCTTTCCTAAAACATAAAATGGTATCACTCGCATCCTTTTCAGATCTAAACCACCTTGAAGGAAAAGTAAAATTTCTAGCTTATGACATAACTAAATTATACTTTAATAAATTAAATGCTTTGTTCTTCAGAAATACCAGTGAAGAACATCTGCAGACTGCCACCACCATGAGAAGAATATCATAGAGCACAATATGTGCAATTGTTTTTCCATGAGTTTCTTGTAAAATAAACAGAAAACTAGAGTATGTTCATTTAAATGCAACAACACAGACATGAACAATCAAAACGATTCTGGTTAAATCGAGTCAAAAGTTTAACTCAATTGAGGCGTATACAGCATAGAGAGCCAAACCAAAATCTTATTTGAAATTTAAATATCATATTACAAGAACAGTGACATCATTCACTGTCCATACATGACCAGAAATTTTTCTGAAATAATTTTGCAATAGATCATTAAAGATTGAGAAGCTTTCCACTACCTTAACCCATTTTACTACTAAAAGATTTTGCATATTTGAGATATAACTACAAGAACCTCAGACTTCAGAATGAAGAAAGAATTATAAAAGAAAATGATTCTCCTGGAACTCATTTGAGCATGTAAACAAAGTGATAACATTCACAACATGGAATTTCTAAACTATATTTGCTAAAAGGTCTTCAAACTGTTAATCAACTAAACCATATGAAACCAAATTTTGGACATGGATATATGTGCACATGTAAGCGCAGGCAGTTGAAAATGTACCATATGAGCAGGCTCCACAATTTGGTACCCAGTTTCATCTGTGAACATGGCAACAAATTCATCTGAAATTCACAATGTTGAGACACAAATCACGGAAGCACTTAAGTCGAAAATAAATATAATTAAAAGAAAAACAAAGAAGAAGATTTGTGACATTTCTTACTTAGCATGAGATTGGATTCTTTCCGACGCGAGCCATGGTCAACAATGATGATGCCATCTTGATCACGCACGCCATGTGGGTAATCTCTATATCTGCCATTTTCAGTGCTCAGGCACGGTCTTCCCCGTTGATGTTTCGGTAATTCGAGGAACTTGGGAAGTACCCATCTGCTTGTTCTTCCAGTTTGGGCTGCTGAAAGACTGCGATTTCTGCAAAAAGAAAAATTATCAAGAACAATCCCAGACAAACACGAATATCAAAGAAGAAATATTAGTCGACTGCTGACATATTTTTATTGATGAGAAAAATTTGATTTATCTGTGCCAAGGATTCTGTCAACATCTTCAAGGTAAGCTGAATAAATGAGAACTCTCGGGTTCCCCTTCTCATTTAGCAAACAGAAAGAGAGTAAATTACTTAAATACCCTTTCATCTCTCTCTCTATATAAATATATATATATATATATTTATATATTTATTTGAGATTGCATATCTATCATTTATTTATATGGTGATACGATATATACATGGTGATTTTTGTATTGTTTGAGTGAAAACTCTTGATCATCATTTTACATAAAATTTTATAATGTTTAATTGTATGTAGTTGCAATTAAAAGTCTTCATGTATACTGATTATTATTTTTTTGATAGTAATACTTTTCTAATGTCTAAAGAAATTAATTAATACTAATTGCAACCATTTGTTGAAATTTTGAAATATATAATTAAATTTATTTTTTTGATAGTAATACTTTTCTAATGTCTAAAGAAATTAATTAATACTAATTGCAACCATTTGTTGAAATTTTGAAATATATAATTAAATTTTGTTAGAAATAATGTATAATTTTGACTTGAAAAATCTGTACATTAAGTTTTTATAATGCTGATTTTAATTAATTTTCCATTTGAGTAGGAATTAATTTCAGTTTTCGAAACCAAAATTGTGTTAATTAGAGCATGAAACTTGAAATGGAAAATGGATTCATATTCTTATTTTAGTCACCACCTACACATTAATTTCTTATTTAATTGACAAATTACTGTCAAGTAAAATTTTAATTTCAAAATAATATTTTTTATTTTAGTATGCAATGACTAAAAATAGGATAAAAATAGATCTCTATTTACGTTTTTTAAAAATTGTAATATGTTCATAATACACAACGAAAAATATAAAACAATTCGATATGATCTATTTATATTTTAAAAATTATATTATAGGTTAAAAATTAAATTTAAAACATACATAACAGCGGATTTTTAAATTGAAATTATTCGAAAATACGAAAATTGTACAGGTTAACTTTGTTTCATGTCAATTATACTAACTAATGAATGATATAAGAAATTTTTTTTTTCCATTCAATTATCTTGACCAAAATTTTAATTTAGTCATTATAATAAATGACAACATAGAGGTTAAACTTATTATCAAAATTGATAGATTGTGTTTTAATCAATTACTAATTCTACAAGTATTTAATCACACTTAATATTTTTTCAACTATAATTCTATGACTATAGGTGTTCAGAATCAAAGTATGATAAATGACTTGTTAATTACTGTAATGATATCAGGTCAAAAAAAATTCTCACATCTCATCATTTTAAGAGAATATTATATTAATAGTTTAAGGTAATATTAGCGATTAGAAATTCTCAATTAAATCGGTTCAATGATCATATCTTCATATGCATTATTTATATATGTGATTTAGTTAATGAGATTAACTAATTTTTATCTTATAGAGATCATCACATATATATTAGTCTTACTGGATCATCAATGTCCTATTTTGATGATCCAATAATTAAGAATATTTTAGATTAAATCATAAAAATTTTTACTCTTATTATAAAAATCTCTATCTTGATGTAAAGTCTCTAAATTTAATTAAGAACTTTATCATATAAATTAAACAACAAAATAATAAATATGATAATAACAAATATTATTACTATATATTAAAATAAATTATCAAATAATAATATATTTAATATATTACATGAATAATTAGATCTTGGGCATAACAATTATATCTCTAACAATCTCCTACTTGTAGTAGATCCAATTTATCATGTACTTCATTCCCAACTTCCACTTATGCTTGTCAAACTCCTTTGCACTAAGAGCCTTAATGAATGGGTTGGCTGCATTATTCTTTCCATCAACCTTTTGAATTTTAGCGTCCTCACGTTCAATAATTTCTCTAATCAAGTGGTATCTCTACAGAATGCGTTTGGATTTTTAATGTGATCTTAGCTCCTTTGCTTGAGCAATAGCTCCAGTATTGTCACACAATAATGAAACTAGACCTTCTATTGAAGTGTGACATCCCAAATGCTAACTAAGGCATAAGGGTGCCAGATACATAAACAAATTATGAGTGCATGATAAATTGTATGCAACGAAGCAAATTATTATAAATTTCTTACTAAAATATGTGAGTTCCAATTACAAATATACATAACTAAGGCCAGAAGTGGCAAAATACAAAAATATCAAAATATTAAAAAAATAAAAAGGGGCACTTCTATCATTATGCGATTGGACTCATCTGAGTGCTGGATAAGTCATGCACTCAGGGGTTGTGAATCCATGGATCCTCATAGACTTCAAGGGGTAGGTCAGCGGTCGGTTCCTCGTTATCTTCCTCATTTGAGGGAGGGGGGGAGGCATGGAAATGGTGAGTTTTATATATTTAGTAAGAAAAATAGTATTTAAATAATATTGTAAGATTTTAAAGGTGAATAATTATATCGTAAATACTTACCATCTAGTTACGTCAGAGTCCTATCTTACTTTATGAAAATAATTTTATTAATTAAAGAAAACATAATGTCAAAGTCACAACAATCAAAATCAAACTCATACTTGACAATAAAAAATTAAATAAATCATGAAATGCTCAGATCTTTGTATCATGCTTCGCGAAGTCATTCCAACTTCCATCTTTGAGAGCAAATACGCATTTTAGATTACCCATGTGGAATGACCAGATCAGATACAGATAATGATAATTTGCTTAGGCACATTTTCGGCTAACCAAACTATGGTACGATCCATGACCAAACCATGGTACCATTTCAACCTTGGCTCCAAGGAAACTCCTTCACTTGAAATCACATAACTAAGAAAGGAAACTCAATCCAACTAGAAGGAGCATTTGTTAAGTTTAGCAAACAGCTGGTTCCAACAGAGTGTTTCCAACACTTCAGACAAGTGGACTGCATGTTTTTTTGGACTCTTGGAGTACACTAAGATGTCATTTATGAATACAATGACGTATTGATCCAGTGCATGTCGGAAAATCCTATTCATGAGATCCATGAAGGCAATATGGGTATTAGTTAACCCGAATGACATCACTTTGAACTCGTACAGGTCGTATCTATACCGAAAAACGGTCTTCAAAATATCTTATTCTTTAACTCTTAGTTGGTAGTATCCCGATCTGAGGTCAATCTTAGAAAAGACCATGACTCATTGCAATTGGTCGAAAATGTCGTCGATTCGAGGTTGGGGATACTTGCTCTTTATTATTACTCGGTTGAGTTCTCGGTAGTCTATGCATAGTTTGAGGGAACCACCATTCTTTTTCACAAATAACACTGAAGCACCTCAAAGGGAGTTACTAGGGCGAATAAACTTCTGACCAAGAAGCTCAGAAAGCTAGTTTTCCAGTTCTGTGAGCTTAGCATGACTCATGCAATAGGCATGTTTCGAAATTGGTTAGGTTTTAGGAAACAGTTTGATAGAAAATTTTACATTTTACGGGGGAGGTAGACTAGATAATTCGACGGAAAAAACTTCCAAAAAGTTGTAAACAATAGGAATCGAGTACACAACAAGATTAGCCTCCATTTTCCTGTTTATTCAATTATTAGAGAGAAAAATAGATTTTTTTATTTCTTTTTTAGAGTTTATAAAGTTACAACTTTACTTTAACAATCAATAATTGCCCTATATTTTTTTAACCAATCTATTCTGAGAATAATGTCAAATCTTGAGAAATCTAAGAGTATTAAATCTACAAATACGTCTATTTTCGAAGCTTTTATCTTACAATTTTTATATACACAATGAGTTTTTAATAATTCCCTAGAGGGAGTTTCTATAGTCAATATTTCTTTTAAAGGTTCAATCCTAATATCAAATTTACAAGCAAATGCACAAGAGTTAAAAGAATGGGTAGCACCTATATCGATCAAAGTTTTGGCAAAAATATCTTGAATAAAAAATATACCCTAGATAAGGACATAAGTGGGGAGGGCACCAGGTTAATCTAGGTGGTATACACGATCCTGAGCTACAGGTCTGACCATGTCCTTCGGCCGCTAAGGACAACCCTTTATAAGATGTTGGGTAGTTCTGCACCGATAGCAGGTGATTGATACGCCGACAGGGTAATTCACCATGCGAGTGACCACAAAGCTAACATGGTTGGGAAGGTCGGGTAGGCTATTCAGTAGGTGCAGGTAGAATAAGGGGAAGGGCAACATGGGTTCATTTATCGGGGTGGTTACTTATTAGGTCGGGTAATCTTTTTTTTTATTATTGGGGTTGTTGTTGTCAGGTATTGATTTGGACAATGCTTGGTGCTTGACCGAGATGAGATCTTTGGCCAATTGAGCATGTTCTAGCACCTCGACATATGAGCTGGGTATCAGCATCGCAACCCGATCATAAATATCGGCACAAAGGTCTTTTAGAAACTTTTTAACTTTTCAATTTTTGGGGGTGACCATTAGAGGAGCAAACCTAGACAATTGGACAATTCAGGCTGCATATTGGGCAACCTTCAGATTGCCTTGGTAGAGGTCCTGAAATTTCTCTCCCTTCTTCTCTCGGACATAGGCTGGGAAAAACTTATCAAAGAATGCATCCATGAAAACTTTTCAAGTGGTAGGGGTAGGCATGACTTCCTTCTTAAGTTGCCACCAGTGTTTTGCTTCACCGATCAACATAAAAGCTACTAGGAGAACTTTTTGTTCCTCAATTAGGTCTAGAACAGATAAAAGCTTCTCTATTTGTAGGATCTAGGCTTCGGCTACGAAGGGGTTAGGGCCACCTTCAAAGTGTGGCGGGTTAAGTTTCCTAAACTCTACTATGTTGTGAGAGATAAACCTTTCAGCTATTCGGTATTATGTGGTAGGGTGTTGACAAGGGTTGGCTTGGTTCTATCCTATGGCTACGGTCAATCCTTGGATAGCTCGGAAGAGTTCGGTAAACTAGGCTCTGGTCGGATGGTCCTGGACCTTAGATCTTTCAGTACGTTTTACGGAAGGTCTCCCTTGTGTTATTCTTACAAAAGAAAGGAAGACACGAGTTGTTGGTCTAATTTTGAAAAGATGACTTATTTTTCCTAGA